TCCCGCAGCCCAGAGAGATCCCCGCATCCCCACACTCCAGCGTTACAGCATCCTGCAACCCAGAGAGACCACCACATCCCCACACTCCAGCGTTACAGCATCCCACAGCCCAGAGAGACCCCCACATCCCCACACTCCAGCGTTACAGCATCCCGCAACCCAGAGAGACCACCACATCCCCACAGTCCAGTGTTACAGCATCCCGCAACCCAGAGAGACCCCCAGCCCCACAGTCCAGCGTTATAGCATCCCACAGCCCAGAGGGACCCCCACATCCCCACAGTCCAGCGTTACAGCATCCCGCAGCCCAGAGAGACCCCCGCATCCCCACACTCCAGCGTTACAGCATACCACAGCCCAGAGGGACCCCCAGCCCCACAGTCCAGCATCACAGCATCCCACAACCCAGAGGGACCCCCCCGCATCCCCACAGTCCAGCATTACAGCATCCCGCAGCCCAGAGGGACCCCCAGCCCCGGACGGCCACTGACCGGCTTTCTGTCTGGGTTTGCCTTGTGCAGAAGGTGCGTGGATGTGGAGCCACAGGATGTGGGGCCCCGTGTCTGGCCTCTTCACTTGGCACCGTGCCCTCCAGGTTCATGCACGTGCAGCCCGAGGCAGTTTCATTCACTGCTCCGTTGCGGGAGGAACCACATTTTATCTGTTCATGGACACTGGGACTGCTTCCACGTGGTTTCTGTGGACAATGCTGTGAACATTCTTGATGAGGTTTTGCGTGGACCTGTTTTCACTTACCTTGCGTAGATACCTAGGAGTGGGATTGCTGGGGCGTGTGGTGAACTTCTGTGACGTCCTGAGGAACTGCCAAGCCGTCTTCCACAGCGGCTGCCTCACCGGGTTCCCACCCGCAAGGCCCTTGACAGCTCCTGCTGTTGTCTGTCCTTGTGATTCTGGCCATCCCAGGGGGTGGCAGCTGGTATCTGCTTGGCTTTGATCTGCGTTTCCCTGGTGGCCAGCCTTGTGGGGCCTCTCTCCCTGTCTCATCCACCTATGCCTGTCTTCTTTTCATTCATTCACTTATTTATTCATTCAGAGACAGGATCTCACTCTGTCACCCAGGCTGGAGTACAGTGGTGTGATGACAGCTTGCTGCAGCTTCTACTTCCTGGGTTCAAGGGAACCTCCCATCTCAGCCTCCCAAGTAGCTGGAACTACAGGCGTGCACCACCACAGCTGGTTAATTTAAAAAAAAAAATTTGGCTGGTGGATCACCTGAGGTCAGGAGTTCAAGACCAGCCTGGCCAACATGGTGAAACCCCATCTCTACTAAAACAAAAATTAGCTGGGCGTGGTGGCGGGCAGCTATAATCCCAGCTACTAGGGAGGCTGAAGCAGGAGAATCCTTTGAACCCGGGAGGCAGAGATTGCAGTGAGCCAGGATGGCACCACCGCACTCCAGCGTGGGTAACAGAGTGAGACTCTGTCTCAAAATAAAATAAAATAAAATAAAAATACAAACCCTGAGCTTGAGGGTTGAGACTGCAGTGAGCTGTGATCGCACCACCGCAGCCCAGCTTGGGCGACACGGTGAGACGCTGTCTCAAAAAAACTTACAGAAAAATGTAGAAAGAATTGTTCCCTTTCATTTCCAGAGGACTTTCGGCCCCTGCTTTTTGAGCATCGGGCGGAGTTTCAGACCTCAGGAGGGCCTCTCCGGTCTACAGCTCCCAGCGGCCTCAGGCCACGCTCCCAGGATCCCCTGGGACTGGCCTAGGACTATTGGGGGGTGGCAGCGGTGATTCTGGCTACGGGGAGGGAGGCAGGGCAGTGGGGCAGGCGCGGGGTCTGCTGTGCCGGGCCTGTGTCAGACTTTAGATCTGGCCTGCAGGGTCAGGCCGTGGTGTCTGGTGACGCCACATTGCTCTTTCTCTTTCACCCTTGCCTCCTGCTGGGCCCTCCCCTGGATCGGCATCCCTGGGGCCACTCCTGCCACGGCCCGCTGCTGTGGGGCCTGAGCTCCAGGCAGCTCCTGTCTGCTGCTGCAAGCAGGCCCCCAAGGTGCATGGTGAGGAGACCCCCAGGCTAGAGATGAGCGAGAGCGGTGGGAGAGCAGACTGTGGGAAGGCAGATGGGGTCCACACACGGAGCCCTCCCCACCACATGTATGCACAGGCGACCCCTGCTCTGCTCCGACAGAGGGCGCTGGGACTGGGGAAGGTCAGCCACAGCAGTCCTGGCATTGACTGAAGAGCTGCCTGCCCGGCTCGCTGCCCTGGTGGCCGCTGAATTCTCCCAACGCCCCAGGAGAGCAGGTGCTGTGGTCCCATGACCGCTCCCCCGTATGGACGAAGGGGTGGGGCACAGGCCGGCGGAGCCTGGGAGAGCCAGGTGCAGCCTGTGTGTCCCCCGCAGCATGTGGCCGGCGCGTGGCTGAGGTCCTGTACAGCTGCCAGGGCCTGACTCAATCAGTAAACCAGTAGTCTACGGGCCAGCGGCTTCAGACACAGAGGAACAAGCGCAGGTGCTGTCCCTCAATCAGTAAGCAACGGGCCAGGCACTGGCGGCTTAGGACAGAGAGGCAACAAGGGTAGACCCCACCGGGAAGGCTGACCAGCGGCTGGGCTGTGGCCAGCCTAGGAGAGTGCAGCCCAGCTCGAGGGAGGCACCACTTCTGCCCCTTAGCACTGAGCAGAGCCCCCATGGCATCACCCACCCTGGCACAGCAGGAGGACCTTCCGACCAAGTCTGGCACCCCGGCGTGTCCTGAGAGCTGTCTGGGCACAGGTCGCAGGGCTGCCCGGGCCAGACGGGGCATCTGTTCCTCAGTGTGGCCTCAGGGGCTCCGGTGCTTTGACCAAGGCCCTGGGGGACAGAATGCAGCTTCCTGCTCCTCGCTTTTCCTGAGAAAGAGGCTGCCTCCCAGGACTGGGACGGCACCAGTCACAGACCCATGGCCTCCATGCTCCGGGGGCTGCTGTCCCGGCTGCTTCGGGGTGGGCTCCGTCTTGCACACAGCGAGCGGCTTCATCACCTCCCTTTCCAATTGGAGCTAAGTGTTGGCAACACCCAGATAACTGGGGCACACAGGTCTTGCGTGTTGGATTTTCTGGACGCTTGCCTCGATTTTCCATTCAACTTGGCCTTTGTACAGTAAGGAGCGGCCCATTGTCTCCCCTGAGCTGTTCCCTTCAAAGGTGCCCATCCCACGATAGTGGGGCCTCCTCACTGAGCGTGTGTGGCTGTGACTTTAGGAGGGTTCTGGATTGAGAATTCCGAAAGGGCTTTGCTTAGGTCTAGCTTTGGGTCTTTGGGCTCCTGACGTAAGCATTTTACTTCCAGGCACTGGTGGTCTGGCCTCAGGAGGTCAAGGCTGCAGTGAGCCGTGCGTGAGCCACTGCACCATCCTGGGCAACAGAGTCAGACCCCATCTCTAAAGGTCAAAAAAAATTATTGTAAGGGTTTCAGGTCTCTGAGCCCGTGAACCTGCCCAGGCCCTGCAGAGGTGAGGGTGGCCCTGGAGTGGCTGGGGGGTTGTGGAGACCAGAACCAGTGCTGAAGGGAAGGGAGGGTGGGAGCCCCACCGAGGTCTCCTGCCACTGACACCTGACCCCTGACCCTTGACCCCCTTCCACCTCAGCCCACTGAGAGAGGGCGGCACAGTGCGGACTGCGGGGTTGGTGACACTGCACTCAGAGTCTCCAACCACAGAAGGGCTGTGCCCTGCCTTCGCCCTCCTCACCCGTGTCCCAGGGCCATGTTTGAACTTTAGGCCTTGTTCTTGCTTCTTGGAAACCCTCCTGAACTGCAGACCGTCTTCCTGACTCACCTGGGTTTTGCCAGGACGGCTCCGAAAGGTGTCTCCCAGCAGACACGCCCCACTGGCGATTTTTTGGTCATGGGGACCTGGGTTCTCTTTGTCCTCTCTGGAGCCTGTGACGCTGTCCTTGCTAGTCAGTGACAACCACAGACCCAAAGGGAGGGTGTGTCTCAGGAGGCCCAGCCCACCTCTGCCTGCACCTGCGGTCAGAGGGGCGCAGAGTCTGTGAAGGCATCTCCCGGAGTCAGGGCTGCAAAGGTCGTGGCCACTCTGCAACCCACAGGGGCGGTGGGACCAGACGCCAGGGAAGGTGCAGGTGCGGCCGGGAGCCCGCCAGCCACAGCTGCATCCATGCCCTTCTCCGAGTGAGCGATGGTGGGGAGAGGCCTGGCTGTCTGCAGGCAGATTGCTTGGGCTTTTCACAGAAGTCCACTGTGAGAGCCTTGGTCTCTGTGCTCCAACTGGACGCCCTGAGCCTCTCCGGGCACAGTCCACCCCCATCCACTCTGCCAGGGGCAGCTCAGGGCCCTCGCCTTGCGAGGCTGAGTACAGGGAAGGTAGCATCACAGAGTTCACTCGGCTCCACAAAACAATCGTGTTGCTTGCGGAGACTTTTTGTTTTTTTGCTTCTTATGAAGAGGCAAGTTTTCTTTCTTCCTGAACCAAAAGGTTTTAGATGGAGCACAAGATTCATGCCATATTTACAAGAACAATTGATTTTTCTGCCAGGCAGAGCAGCCAGTCTGTCTCAGAGGCTGTGCTATGGAGTGGGGAGGACCCTTGCTCAGATCAGCCCATGCCTTCCCCAGGCCCCTGCCCGTCCACCCACCCTTCTGTCTGAGTACCTGTTCCACGCCCGGGATGACCTAGTCCTGAGCCTGGCCGGGCCCCCCCGCCATCTGCCATCTACAGGCCTGGTGACAGAGAAAGCAGTGCCCTTGAACAGCAGCCCGGCTTTGGGGTGCTCAGCCCTCTCTGTAGGATCCTGTGTGGCTCAAGGGGTCTGCCAGGTCTCCAATGGGCAAGAGGGGCCCTGAGCCATGCGTGGATCCATTCTAGGCAGAGGCAGCTGCCACCACCGCCTGCCTTGAATGCTCAGCCCTAGGCTCTCGGCCCCGTAGCTCTGCAGCCACAGACAGTGCCTTCCCCAGGCTGAGAGAAGGGTGGGGTCCAGCCGCTCAGGACTTCACAGGGTGGCCCTGATGAGCACCTTCCCTTGCAGCCACACCCACTCGCCCGGGTCTATGGCCACGGCCGGAGAGTGGTCCTGTGCGCGCTGCACCTTCCTGAACCCGGCCGGCCAGCGCCAGTGCTCCATCTGCGAGGCCCCCCGGCACAAGCCCGACCTCAACCACATCCTGCGGCTCAGCGTGGAGGAGCAGAAATGGCCCTGTGCCCGCTGCACCTTCCGCAACTTCCTGGGCAAGGAGGCCTGCGAGGTGTGCGGCTTCACCCCAGAGCCTGCACCTGGAGCTGCCCTCCTGCCAGTCCTCAACGGAGTCCTCCCCAAGCCACCTGCCATCCTTGGGGAGCCCAAGGGCAACTGCCAGGAAGAAGCAGGTCCAGTGAGGACTGCGGGGCTGGTGGCCACGGAGCCCGCCAGGGGGCAACACAAGGACAAGGACGAGGAGGAGCAGGAGGAACAGGAGGAGGAGGGGGCGGCGGAGCCCAGAGGGGGCTGGGCCTGCCCGCGTTGCACGCTGCACAACACACCCGTGGCCAGCTCCTGCTCCGTCTGTGGGGGCCCACGCAGGCTCTCGCTGCCACGGATCCCTCCTGAAGCCCTGGTGGTCCCGGAAGTGGTGGCCCCGGCCGGCTTCCACGTTGTGCCTGCCGCGCCTCCACCTGGACTCCCTGCAGAAGGCGCCGAGGCCAACCCCCCAGCCACCAGCCAGGGTCCAGCTGCTGAGCCAGAGCCGCCCAGGGTCCCACCCTTCAGCCCCTTCTCGTCCACCCTGCAGAATAACCCCGTGCCACGCAGCCGACGCGAGGTTCCCCCCCAGCTGCAGCCGCCGGTGCCTGAGGCTGCCCAGCCATCACCCTCTGCCAGCTGCAGGGGACCCCCCCAGGGCTCGGGCTGGGCTGCGGCCGCCCGCCTAGCAGAGTTGCTGTCCGGCAGGCGGCTGAGTGTGCTGGAGGAAGAGGCCATGGAGGGCGGCTCCAGCCGCGTAGAGGCCAGCAGCTCCACCTCGGGCAGCGACGTCATCGACTTGGCCGGAGACACCGTGCGTTACACGCCCGCCAGCCCCTCCAGCCCCGACTTCACCACCTGGTCGTGTGCCAAGTGCACACTCAGGAACCCCACGGCGGCCCCCAGGTGCTCGGCCTGTGGCTGCTCCAAACTGCACGGCTTCCAAGAGCATGGCGAGCCCCCCACCCACTGCCCCGACTGCGGGGCGGACAAGCCCTGCCCCTGTGGCAGAGGCTGCGGACGGGTCTCCTCGACCCAGAAGGCCACCCGCGTGCTGCCCGAGCGCCCGGGCCAGTGGGCCTGCCCTGCCTGTACCCTGCTCAACGCACCACGGGCCAAGCACTGTGCTGCCTGCCACACGCCTCAGCTCCTGGTGACCCAGCGGCGGGGGGCCGCACCCCTGAGGCGCAGGGAGAGCATGCACGTGGAGCAGCGGCGGCAGACAGATGAGGGCGAAGCCAAGGCGCTCTGGGAGAACATCGTGGCCTTCTGCCGGGAGGTGAGGCGCCCCTCACCCTCTCCCTGCTCCTCAGCCTCCTGCTTCTGCCCTCCCCTTCCTAGGCTTTGGGCTCTGGCCGTGGGCTGGGGAGCAGCCCGCAAGGCCTAAGACGTGATGGGGTGGGCAGCACCCTCCACCCCGAGGCTCCAAGCTCCCGACGGCCCTGGGGTCTGGCTTGGCCTCCTGACCTTGGTCCTTGCTCATGACCAAGATGCACGACCTTCACCCACCTCAGCCCTCCTCCTTGGCCAGGAGGGCGCCAGAGCCCCGTCTGATGTTCGGGCCGGGCAGGGAAGGCGAAGGGGCCTTCCCAGGGGCAGCCCGTGGAAGACCCCGCTGAAGCTGAGGTTGGGCATGTGGAAGCGCGAGGCGTTCGGGATGTGAAGCGGCGCAGGCTCGGCGATGTGATAGCGCGAGGTCGGGATGTGCGGCGAGGTCGGGATGTGAAGCGGCGAGGTCCGGGAATGTGAAGCGGCGAGGTCGCGGATGTGAAGCGGCGGGTCGGGATTGAATGCTGAGCGTTGGGACATTGTGAAGTGTGAGGTCGGGATGTGCCCGTGCTCCACCCTCGGGTCCAGCATGGAGTCACCCACAGTCAACTGGGGAACGGCCTGCATCCTCCCCAGCAGGGCCGGGGCCAGAGCCATGCTGCCACCCCTGTCCCTGCAGCCTCCCACTGGGGGCTGAGCTGTCCCCCTGGGCCCACACGTTCCCTGCTCCTCACCAGGGCCTCTCCACACAGGGCAGGGCGGCCAAGCGCCAGGTCTGTGGCTGTCCATACTCCACCCGTCCCTTCGGGGCCCAGGCAGTGCTTTCGGGCGCTCTCCTGGGTGGGGTCTTGTCCCTGCCAGGTGGAGTGAGGCCGCCTTGCCCAGCCTGAGCACGTGGCCATGGTCTCTGCAGAACAACGTGAGCTTTGTGGATGACAGCTTCCCTCCCGGGCCTGAGTCTGTGGGCTTCCCCGCGGGCGACAGCGTGCAGCAGCGCGTGAGGCAGTGGCTGCGGCCCCAGGAGATCAACTGCTCCGTCTTCAGGGACCACAGGACCACGTGGTCTGTGTTCCACACGCTGCGACCCTCAGACATCCTGCAGGGGCTACTGGGGAACTGCTGGTGAGGTCCTCTCCAAGGCCGGGGTGGGGCTGTGGGCGGGTGTCCAGCCGCGGTCCCCCCGAAGCTGCCCCGAGGTCACCCTGAGGCTCTGCACAGGTTCCTAAGCGCCCTGGCGGTGCTGGCAGAGCGGCCGGACCTGGTGGAGCGGGTGATGGTCACGCGCAGCCTGTGTGCAGAGGGTGCCTACCAGGTGCGGCTGTGCAAGGATGGCACGTGGACCACGGTGCTGGTGGATGACATGCTGCCCTGCGATGAGGCCGGCTGCCTCCTCTTCTCACAGGTGGGGCAGCGTGCGGGGTGTGCGCAGGCGGCAGGGGCAGCCTCTGACCCCGGCCCCCGTGCCCCACAAACAAGGCCAGCTGCCTTCTCTTCTCACAGGGCGGGTAGTGTGGGGGGCAGGCGGGGGTGGCCTCTCACCCTGGCCCTCTGCAGGCGCAGCGGAAGCAGCTGTGGGTGGCCCTCATCGAGAAGGCGCTGGCCAAGCTGCATGGCTCCTACTTCGCGCTCCAGGCGGGCCGCGCCATTGAAGGCCTGGCCACGCTCACCGGCGCCCCCTGCGAGAGCCTGGCGCTGCAGGTCAGCTCCACTAACCCCCGCGAGGAGCCCGTTGACACTGACCTCATCTGGGCCAAAATGCTGAGTTCTAAGGAGGCTGGGTAAGAGGGGGGGCACTGCGTGGTCAGCTGTGTTGGGAGGAGAGGCGAGGCGGAGTGGTGGGAGACGTGGGGCTGGCGGCCCCTTGACCCGGTTCTGCATCGACGAGGTGCCCCGGTGTGGGCTGACCCGTGTGGCCAGGCCACAGCCCCCATCACCTCCCCTTCCCTGGGTGGATCTGGAGCTGGCGTTCTCATGCCAGGAAGGCCACATCCTGGCCCAGGCTGTGGGGCGAGCCCGATGCTGTCACCCCCTCAGGGCAGGCGTGAGGGGCATGTTAAGTTTGGTCACACCCTGGTCAGCGGGTCTGTGCCTTGACCCCTGGAGGCTGCTGGGAGTGGCCCGGTGTGAGCACCTCAAAGCTCCCAGAGCCCTCCTCAGCTGACCCTGGGCAGTGCCGCTGTCCGCCCGCCTGGGAGCCACAGAGCCCAGAGCCAGCCCCACAAGGCCTCCAAGGGACCCAGGCCTGCCACCCCTAATTCAGGCCCTGTGTGCCTCAGGCACGGTGGAGGGGGCTGGTCCAGACCCTCCTGAACACACTTCACATGCTCCCTACAGGCAGGAGTGGGCCCCGGTCAGTGACGGCCCCGGTCAGTGAGGGCCCCAGTCAGCAAGGCCTCCCAGTCAGTGAGGGCCCCTCTCAGCCATGCCCCCAGTTGATGAGGGCCCCAGTCAGCCATGCCCCTGATCAGTGAGGACCCCGATTAGTGAGGCCCCTTGTCGGTGAGGGTCCCAGTCAGTGAAGTCCCCGGTCGGTGAGGGTCCCGGTCGGTGAGGGTCCCCGTCAGTGAGGCCCCCGGTCGGTGAGGGCCCCGGTCGGTGAGGGCCCCGGTCGGTGAGGGTCCCGGTCGGTGAGGGTCCCAGGCGGTGAGGGCCCCGGTCGGTGAGGGTCCCGGTCAGTGAAGTCCCCGGTCGGTGAGGGCCCCAGTCGGTGAGGGTCCCGGTCGGTGAGGGTCCCGGTCGGTGAGGGTCCCAGTCGGTGAGGGTCCCGGTCAGTGAAGTCCCCGGTCGGTGAGGGCCCCTGTCGGTGAGGGCCCCAGTCGGTGAGGGTCCCAGTCGGTGAGGGTCCCAGTCGGTGAGGGTCCCGGTCGGTGAGGGCCCCGGTCGGTGAGGGTCCTGGTCGGTGAGGGCCCCAGTCGGTGAGGGTCCCGGTCGGTGAGGGTCCCGGTCGGTGAGGGCCCCAGTCGGTGAGGGTCCTGGTCGGTGAGGGCCCCAGTCGGTGAGGGTCCCAGTCGGTGAGGGTCCCGGTCGGTGGGGCCCCTGGTCAGTGAGGGCCGCTCTGCCACGCAGGTTCCTCATGGGTGCCTCCTGTGGCGGGGGCAACATGAAGGTGGACGATTCGGCCTACGAGAGCCTGGGCCTGCGCCCCCGCCATGCCTACTCCGTCCTGGATGTTCGAGATGTCCAGGGCACCAGGTAGGGCCGGGCTGGCTGACGGTGGGCAGGGTGCCGGTGAGCCACGGGCAGTGCTGTTCTGATCCTCACCCCTGTGGTCTGCAGGCTTCTGCGGCTCCGAAACCCATGGGGCCGTTTCTCCTGGAATGGCAGCTGGTCTGACGAGTGGCCACACTGGCCGGGGCACCTTCGTGGCGAGCTCATGCCACACGGCAGCAGTGAGGGCGTCTTCTGGATGGAGTATGGCGACTTTGTCAGGTATCAGCGCCACGGGGCAGTGTGCGTGCTGCCGCCGCCCTCCAGGGCCCGGTCCTTCTCTGCAGAACAAGCCTGACCCTCCTGCTGACCTGGGGTGGGGACAGCTCGTCTGTGGCCCAACGCAAGTGGGAGCTGGGGCTACAGCTCCAGGGTGCCGACCTCAGAATCCAGGTCCACCCAGGTCTGCAGAGCCCAGCGCCTGAAGAGCCACCCCTGGACGGCTTCCAGTGTAGGCCTCAGGGATGGGCCCCCAGCGGCCGGGCTGCAAGAGGACGGTGACAGAGCAGCTGGGGGGTCACCGGCCTGTGGTTGCGCCAGGAGCGGAGCCACGGCGGTGTGGGCTGCAGTGGGCTCAGGGCCCCGTCCTCCCGCTGCCCCCAGGTACTTCGACTCTGTGGACATCTGTAAGGTGCACTCGGATTGGCAGGAGGCGCGGGTGCAGGGCTGCTTTCCCAGCTCGGCCAGCGCGCCCGTGGGGGTGACAGCGCTCACGGTGCTGGAGCGGGCCTCGCTGGAGTTCGCACTCTTCCAGGAGGGCAGCAGGTGTGTGCTGTGGGGCCGCACTGGGCTGGGCTGGGCTGGCGGCCACGGCCACGCGTGACCCCAGCCCGCGGTGTCTGACGCAGGCGCTCGGACGCAGTGGACAGCCACCTGCTGGACCTGTGCATCCTGGTGTTCCGGGCCACGTTCGGCAGCGGTGGCCACCTCAGCCTGGGCCGCCTCCTGGCCCACAGTAAGCGCGCGGTCAAGAAGTTTGTCAGCTGCGACGTCATGCTGGAGCCTGGAGAGTACGCTGTGGTGTGCTGCGCCTTCAACCACTGGGGGCCGCCCCCCCCGGGCGCCCCTGCCCCCCAGGGTACGTGCCCCCTACCCCAGGCTCATGCCCCAGGCCCGCAGGGAGGGCTGCGGCTCACACGCCCCTCCTTGTAGCCTCCAGCCCCTCGGCAGGGGTCCCAAGAGCCTCCCCAGAGCCGCCGGGCCACGTGCTGGCTGTGTACAGCTCCAGGCTGGTCATGGTGGAGCCTGTGGAAGCTCAGCCCACCACGCTGGCCGACGCCATCATCCTGCTCACCGAGAGCCGCGGAGAGCGGCACGAGGTGGGTGGGGGGTCCTAGGGAAAGGTGGCGTGGGGCAGGGGGAGTCTGCCCCAGCCCCTGCCCTGCCCCACAACTGCTGTGCCTGTGCCCAGGGCCGTGAGGGCATGACCTGCTACTACCTGACACACGGCTGGGCAGGGCTCATTGTGGTGGTGGAGAATCGGCACCCCAAGGCCTACCTGCACGTGCAGTGTGACTGCACCGACAGCTTCAACGTGGTGTCCACGCGCGGCAGCCTGCGCACCCAGGATAGCGTGCCACCCCTGCACAGGTGCGCCCCCGCCCCGCCCCCACACCTGCCCCACGCCTGCATGGTGCGCCCCCACCCCCACCCCACTGTACCCCCCCCTGCTCGGGGGTGCCCATACCCCTGCCCCTACCCCTGTACAGGTGTTTGTCACCCCACTCCTGCCCCTGCCCTTGCACGGGTGGGTGCAGCCCTGTCCCCATCTCCCCCTGCCCTCCCCTGGTCCTCACTGGTCACCGGTCCCCTCCCCTAGGCAGGTCCTGGTGATCCTATCCCAGCTGGAGGGCAACGCGGGCTTCTCCATCACCCACCGCCTGGCACATCGCAAGGCAGCCCAGGCCTTTCTCAGTGACTGGACAGCCTCCAAGGGGACCCACAGCCCCCCACTCACGCCAGAGGTCGCCGGTCTGCATGGGCCCCGGCCGTTGTGACCACGATGCCCGGGGCAGGGGCTGTGCGCAGACGGACCCCCACCCCCTACACGCACTTTATGAGGGAGACCCCGATAGAGGACGCTTGAACCAGAATCTCAGGACCCTGCCCAGGGAGCTGCCAGCCCAGTGTGCAGCTTCCCATGGGCCTCCCGCCCCCTCCCTCCCCTCCCTGAGCACCCACAGCCCGCCTGGCCAGGCCTCCCGGCCACCACGCAGAATACCTCGAACCAGACGGGCTGTGAGCCAGCCCCACTCACCTGCCAGCCCCAACACCCGACGGGGGGCCGAGGCCAGGCTGCCCCTCCCTGTGGGCTCAGAGTCTCCTGTGGGGGAGGCAGCCAAGAGCTCTGTCCACAAAACCAAATCTGGGTGTCAGAGGCCAAGACCCCAGGGTGGGATCAGGGACCACTCCTCACGGGGCATAATATCAGTTTTCCCCCAGAGCCCGGGTCCCTTTCCCCACGGGGCAAGCGGGGTCCCTGGAGCCCTGGTGTGGAGCGGAAAGTCCCAGGGCGGTCCCTGTCTCAGAAGGAGGGGCCCTTGGCCAGCCACCCCCCAGCGACACTATGCAATTGCGCCCGCCAGGATCGAAGCCATGACCGGGTGCAGGCGGGCGCCAGGCCTGCTGTGGGTGGGCACCAGTTCTCAGCACCGCTCACTGCTGCCGGGCAGGCCAGGACCAGCAGGCTCCTCAGCCAACCTTGTCCCTCAGCCCGGCCCTGCCACAGAGAGGGACCCCAGCCCATCGTGGACGTTGGCAGGGCTCAGCCGCTTCCACCTCCCCACAGAAGCCCAGGAGCGTGTGGACGTCTGAGTCCAGCTTCCTGCGTCCCCACCCGGCCCTCCTGGCCCCTCACCCCCAGGCAGTGAGCCAGCCCCACCCCCACTCCCCCTCGTACCCTGGCAGGGGCTTCCGGGGCTGTTACACCTGGAGAAACATTCCCACTCCCCTTTGGCCTCCCTGTACTCCGAGCTGTGAATATTTTTAACCCTGTAAATACGGCCAGCTCTTGTGACACAGAGACTATTTTATCAACCGTCAGCACCGTTCCTTTACGATAGGATTCTCCACAGTGGCTTCCGACTCAGGCTCCAATGGACCAAATAAAAGCGTTTTGTTTTGTAATCACGCCTCCTCCTCCGGCTGTTGCTCTGTCCAGGGCCCTGTGGAAGGGCAGAGAGGTTGCAGGTCCGAGGGACAGGCCCTGCCCAGGCATCCCGGGCAGGTGGACAGATGGGGGCCCCTGGAGATGGCCGTGGTGGGGTGACTCACAAGCTTGTAAGGGGCAGCCAGGAAGGACGGAGTGACTGGGCGGGGGCAGGGGCCGCAGCCCCAGGGCCAGGAAGGACTGGGCAGACAGGACAGCAGCACATGCAGCTTCTCCCAGCAAGGCATCCGCACTGGGGGCCCTTTCTGAACCCATCAGTCACCCGGCAGGAAAAGATGGAGTGAGGGGCTTGTGGGGAGAAAAGTTTCCTGTCCCCTCCCAGTCTCGTCCCAGGATGGCCTCTGCCCCCACGCAGGTGCCGCTGATCAAAGCGCCCGGTCGGTCGGAGGCTCTGCTGTCTCCCTGGACGGAGTTGGGGGCTGGGGTGCGGCCGGTGCAGGGTAAGAGGCTGTCACGGGCAGCGTATCGAATGTGAAAGCAATTAAAGCCACCAGCAGTGTTGGCTCCGGGCGGGCCTGGGGCGGCGGGGAGCTGCCAGAACGCATCTCGCCTCGGTGCCAGCGGACGCCTGCCCTGCTGTCCGCGCCTGCGTGGCCACACCGCGCTCCTCCTGGGGGTGGGGGCCAGGCTCGCACCCACTGTCATCTGACACAGAGCGGGCTCTGTCCAGCCCTGGGGTATCTGGGACCCCGGTCCTCCCGAGAGCTCCTCTGCCCCTGGCCCCACTCCCACCGCCACCCACCTCTCTGGTTTCTGCCGCCCCAGCCCTGTGGTGACCCAGGACAGAGGCCCACGAGAAGGACCCTCGTGGGCAGGAGTCTCCATAGCAGGCAAGGGGTCCGTGCCCACCCTCTTAGCTGCCCGGAGTCCCCACTGGCCCAGCCAGCAGCCTCCTCTCTGCTTGAAACCCCCCGGCGGCAGCTCCAACAGGGAGGTGGTAAGGGAAAGGGGGGGCATCTGCAGAGGACTTGGGCTCCCACAGCCCAGACCCTGCCAGGTGTTGGGCCGGGGCCACTGTGGGGACCTGGAGGAGGTGGCTGGCAGCAGGTAAAGGGAACAGGTGCGAGCGTCCTGCAGGCAGCAGGGAGGACTGGCTGGGCAGAACACGCAGCCCTGGTGCAGGGCAGACCCCGGGGGCAGCTGTCGGGGCAGCCTCCTCCTCACTGACACGGCCCGGCCCCTGCTCAGCCCTCCCCTCCCTTCTCTGTGCAGGCCTCTCCCCTCCCCCGCATTTCCTCCTGGGTCTCACCCCCAACAGCACCATCTCCCTGGTGTGTCTGAACTATGCTAGCCCTGTGCCCCCACGGTGCCCTCTCCTGGCCCCTCTTGTTGGCGCTGCTAGCCACAGTGGCCTTCCCGGGGCGGGCAGTGGCGAGTTCTCACTTATGAGGCATCCCTGTCAGAAGCACTTAGTGTACAAATTAGCCGTGGCTTCTTCGCCTCCTTCCACAGCTCTGGGCTCCAGGCTGACTGGGCTGCGGCTCCAGGCCCTCTCCTGCCTGCCCGGGGCGCACGGCTGCCCAGTGTGGACCCCTGGCTGCCCGCCCATGTCCTAGCAGGAGTGCCTGCTCCCCACTGGCCGGCCAGGGCTCCCCCAGGACCCCGACCCAGACCTGGCTGGGGGTGGCCACGGCGGGCTGGGGGTGCTCAGTGAGGTTTGTGGGAGTGGGAGGCCAAGGCCCAGGACCTGGATCTACCCCAAGAGCGGCCAGCCCTGGTGCTGAGGGCTACAGGGGGGCTGGACATGGGGCCCCACCACCCCACCTGCCAGTTGGAGGCCCCGCCACCCCGCCCGCCAGCCCGCCTGCCACTCAGGCGGGGAAAATCATCTGTGACAGGCCCAGGAAGGCCGGCCCCGGGGGCCGCAGAGAGACGCACACAGCTCCTCTTCCCAACATATGGCTGCTGTCGGCCCCGGGCGCTGCTGGTCAGTGCCAGGCTCAGGAGCCGGTGGGGGCTCGAGCAGCCTGAGCCTCCCGTCCCACCCGCCTGGCCGGCTGCCCCCTCTGTCAATCTACATCCCAGCCTCCTGGAACGGGGGCTCACTCCCACTACAGCAGCTTGGCCCTCCAAGGAGTGTCCCATACCCTCATCTGTCCCAGAGGCTCAGGACACACAGAGGGTCAGCCCCACACCCGGCCCAGGGTGGCCAGTGACCTGGCATGTCCATGAAAGCGTGCAGTGCATGGAGAAGGGCCCAGCTGGGGTCTTCCAGAGCCGAGCGGCGGGTGGGAAGGGGGCTCTCTGGAGTGGACTCTGGGACGGTCGGGGCTGCTAGGGAGGACTCTGCCTGGTAGAGCTGCATGCAGAGCGTTGAAGCCGGAAGACTCCTGCAGCCAGGGACCCATTCAGGCACCTCCTAACAGGATCCCTCAGGTGGATGGACCCCAGAGCTCCACAGGCTCTTTGTGTGCCCCCCACCCTTGGGCTGTTGTCCTGGGCGCTCTGGCCCACTCGGGTGCCCAGCCCCCTCCGTTCTGCCCCCACACCACCACTGTGTACCCGCCCGTCAAGGCCACCAGCCTCAGACTGGTGCCCAGGGCCCTCATGTGTGGCCATGACCCCTTTGGCCAAGGCCGGGCTGCCCCTCTCAACCAGGGATCCTTGAGTGGGCTGGAAGGAGGAAGCCCTCAGGAGGCCTGTGCTCTGTAGACCTGGGGTTCTTGAAGTGCTCAGGTGGCCACAGGCCCTAGGGTCCGTTATTGAACAGACAGACATCAGCTGTGACCAGGCGCCTTGCAAGGTACTAATCCCACATGGGGGCTCCAACTTGCTGCCGCTGGATACGCCAGTCTCAGGACCTGTGTGGGGCCTCCAGCCTGGCTCCAGCTCTGCCACTGCCCTCACTTCGCGGGTGCAGGCGCCCCGGCCCCTGCACCTGTCCCGACACTGGCTGTGTGTGGACGCTGAGGGGATGAGACAGGCCTGCCCCCGGGCACTGGCCATGCCGAGCACTGCCTCCACTGCCTTCCCTGAGCCCAGCTCTCCATCCTGCCCGTGAGCCCCGGGCACACAGTCCCAGTGTTAATGGAGGTGACAGGCGGGCAGCCGTGGGCAGACCGGGCAGAAGAGGTTAATGGCCAAAATGAGCTTCTGGCTAGAGGCAGAAGGAGGGGCCATGGGGTCCCCATCCCGCCCTGCACTGGGACGGGCTAAGGAGACATCAGGGCACCCACTAGGACTAGAGCAGAAGTGCCCGGAGACTGAGCACCCCACCGCCCATTCTGCAGATGGGGGCCGTGGCCCAGGAAATTGGTGGGGTGGGGGCACAGGTGCCAAAACAGAGTCCCAGTCACTGCCTCAGGAAGCAGAGGCCACCTCTCCATACCCAAAGTCAGCCCCGTGTGCAAGGGCTGGGTCCCAGCAAGTGGGTCATAGTCACAGTGAAGAAGCTGATGTGCCCAGGGGGCCCTGTGTTTGGGGGGTGCTGGCACTGACGACCCGGCCCTCCTGGCCTGTTCGTGATGGGAACAGTCATCTGGGCCACACGATGTACTGGCCTCACATGCCCCTCACCCCCACCCCACGTAAGGCGAATCTCAGGACCCACCACGCAAGTGGCAGGGCCCCTCATCCTCGCTGCGCCAGAGCCCTTCCGGGAGGCCAGAAACACGCCCAAGTTGTGCCCCTGGGCTCCCCTCTGGGGCTGCCCCTCTTCTCTTCTCATGCAAACCTTCTGCAAAGGCAATCGGTGGAGGGGTGGGGAGCTCCTTCACAGCCTTGTTCCGCCTCTGGGCTCCTTGGCCCCTGAGCTTCACTGGGCTTTATTTCCTGCCATGCTGGAGATCTAGAATGCCCCCCAGACCACGGCTCCTGGTCCCTATTTTCCTTTCCCAGAAGATGACCAGAGCCTCCGCCAGTTGGTCTCCTGTGCTGTCAGCTGTGGGCCTCTTCCAGACCTTCGAGGGGTCGGTTTCAGGCTGGCCGGTGGAGGACTACCGGTGTCAGGGTGACTTGGACCCTAGTCTCTCCTGGGCAGTGGCTCGGCTATAAACATGTCCAGCAGTAGGGTCTATGTATGGAAGCAGACGTGCCTCCGTGGCCCCGCTCTCCACGGGGCTGCTGGCGTGACGGCAGTCCAAGCTGTCTCCCGGCCTGGGAGCTGCCCACGGTCCAGACTGGGTCAAGCTGGGCCAGGCCAGGCGGGCAGAGAGAAGGCTGGCATGCCTCTGCCATTCACAGCACCCCTCCCAGTCCCTGCCCACCCCAGGGACTTTCCTCCAGACGGGCGTGGGTGGCTGCTGTCAGGAAGGTGGCATGGAGGCAGAGGGGAGACAGAGCCCCATGCCCACCCCAGAACAGGGGACTGCTTTTCATGGACCGCTGGGGTGTTGCTCCACCAGGGAGCCTCTGCCAGCAGCCCGGGCCAGGACCAACAGGGAGATGCTGCTGGCTCTCTTCTCGCCCATTCGAGGAGGTGACACCCAGAAGTCCCGTGGGGTCCTCCCTTCTTCCCAAGGCACCCCTGAACCCGACCTGAGGCTGGGGACAGCCCCGGAGCCCGCAGCTGAGCCTGCAGGAAGCCCCAGGTCCTGGGGAGCCATGTGGGCCGGGCTCCCTGTGCTGCCTCAGAGCCAGCGGGGAGTAGCACACGCCTCTCTGGCTGGAGACCCCGAGACGGCCGCCCATCACATGTGTCGGGTTTAGGACGTCTCCCCTGAGTGAAGGCAGGGGCTCTGCCCCAGCCATGCCTGTGTCCGCGTCTGGGAGGGAGCAGGCCGGTCAGGTGAATCTCCCCTAGGACCCAGCTGAGCAGTGGGGCTCCAAGCCTTTACGTTCTGGCAGCTCAGGGAGCTGCTTGGAACTTGGTGCAGCCGGGGAGGTGGGGCTGGGAGCAGCCCTGGCCAGGAGGACATTGGGGAAAGGGCTTCATGGTGTGGCTGGAGGTCCAGGCCCCTCCCCGGCCCTGCTTCTCACCTCCACCGCTCCAGGTCCTCTCAGGAGGGGACCCCCGTGG